AGTTAGTTAGTTGTGTGTGTGTGTGTGTGTGTGTGTGTGTGTGTGTGTGTGTGTGTGTGTGTGTGTGTGTGTGTGTGTGTGTGTACAAAATATAATATAAGCTGATATAAAATAATATATATGTATATTTTTTGCAGAGGAAGTAATTTTTAATATTTACTACATATAATGTAAAAATATATATGACTCTCCTACCTTTTAGGGAATCATTAAAGTACCTCATTTACTTCTGATAAATTTATTCTTGATATAATGGTTCATTATTTGTAATATATCTGTTGTCGCAAAGATGATAATTTATTCTGATACCATCGGTGGAAAGCTATAGTTAGCATTCCATGTATAGCCGGTTGAAAGTATTTTTAACTTACGATACGATATAACTGATAGTCGAAATAAATTATTTATGATTTTTGCCGTATAACTTTTGCAGCAAATAATTTTATACGTCGCGAACGCAACGCTGCTGAAAATAGATTTAAATCAATTAATATTCACAGCGTAATACCCGCTTCCGCATGCGCTTCTAAAAAGCCGCCTATGCTAATTGCATATGTACTTTCGACGATATGTATTTCGACATTTCTCATTGATGTGTCCCTCACGTGATTCACGATTTAATGAAATCGAAATCTATTGTGAGATTCGAATTTCGCTTCCGCCAAGTTTTCTTATGAAAAGTAATGCAATGATGTATGTAATGATCTAAAGTTGGATTCAGACCAACTAAACGAGCGAATGAGGACAAATATGAAGAGGAGAACAAACATTTTCTCGCGAATATCTCTTGCACTCATTGGAACAAGCTGTTCATTCATGCTCGTTTGCACTCGCTCGTTCACTTAAATTTGAATTCTATTTAATAAAGAATCAGTAAAAATCAATTTGAAATCGATTAATTATTACACGCAATTGTGCAAAACGTGCGATGATTGATTACTCACAAATTAGATTTAGTTTTCCAAAACTTTACATTACATTTTATAATTATTATATAAAAAGTATGATGCTCAGTCAATGCAAACATTTGTTTGTATGCTCTTATATAATATGGAATTTAAAATTAAAATTAAATTAAAAGTAATCTGTAAACAAATGATTTTGATTAAACATTTTTATTGCGTAAAATAATAATTAAAAAATAAAAGTCATAAGACAAAAAATTTAAGGCTTTTTCATACATTTAAATGTATTAAGAAATATAGAGGTCTCTCTTAATTTGATTTATGAGTGCCAAGGAATATAAATCGAAGATAGCAACGTTAATTAAAATATGATTGATTGTCTTGGAAAATTTTCGAAGAATATTACCGTGAAGTCTAGAGAATTCTATTCGATCCGAATTCTAATTGTAAAGATTCCAAGATTATATAGCGGCGCAATATCGACGATTTTGCATCTAATGATCTCAATTATACATCATAATTACGTGTTATCATAATTACGTCTTAAATGACGTATTAATGTGCTATATTTCCCTGAAAATCGCTATGCTATAGCTATACATTACTCAACTTGTTCTACATAAACGTAATCTATTGATGTTTCATCTAAAATTTTTATTATTGATTCAGGGGAAATTTATGTTTCTATTTATGCAAGCTATGCATCATATCATTTGCACATATAAAAGATACAAGTATTGCATATATTTTGAAAAGAATTTCTATAAGAATTTTTTGCTTAAATTTACAATATAAAACTTTTACTTTTTGATATTACAACTAAATAATTGTCGATATATATTTTCGGGATATACATATAATCTGTTATTTACATTCACTTTATTATATTATCTTTAATATATCTTTAAAAGATATACCTTTGACATATCTTTGCATGCATTGGTGTGTTTTCTGTTTAGTTTTCGATTTATTTGATTCGGCACACATTACGAAGCAAACAACATCACATTATTTTTGTCTGCGCAACGTCAAAAGCAAGCTAAGCTTTTAAAGTTATGTCGTGTGCGGAAAATACAAATACGGTATCTGAAATATCAGAAATAATTTAATAGGTCAATCGGATTGACCTATATTAATTCCGATTAAAGCTAGACGTCGATCGTTTTAAGCAGAAGCATCTATTACGAATAGAGAATACGGATAGAGAGGCGGATTTCCCCGCGACACGTGTATGCAAAGCGAGATAAGATCGGTGATGGACGTTCGCAAAGGAAGATCTCAGAGAAAGGACTCGGGCCGTACTTTCTTATCGTTCCTTGCGTTAGTTCGCTTCTCTGTGTTCCTCTCGCCCGCGAGGAGATTTCTCCCACTGATCGCCGCAGGAGCAATTCTTTCGAACGATCACGAAGATGGGGGGTCGAGATTACATCCACTTATATTAACGCCTTGCCGTAATGCACGCCACTTATGGTGCAATCCGGGTAGAAACAAATTCCCGGTATAGTTTTTCGCCGTAAATAATCCCCTTGAGAGAGAGAGAGATGTAATCTTTGCAAGAAAATTCATAGTAAGGTACGGAAGGCATTAGAAATTTATATATATTTTATTTACATATTTTTTTGACTTTCCAACTCTTTGGACATATCTTTCAATCTAATTTTTTTTCATCAAAAATCATTTTAAAATCTCTTCTAAATTAATAATAATTACTAATTTAAATATATTTGATGATTTAAAAACAATTTAATTTAAACTGTGTACATTGTTCAAACAATGTACACAATTTTTCAATATATTTAAAAATTCTTTTATTGGAGAAAAATTAAATAATAAAAATTGAATGTTATAATGAATAAAAATAATTATTATTTTACATTTTCCTTTATGTATAGTAATTTTGTTGAACAATTAAGCTTCTCGGTAGCTTATATAACATAATACAGAAGATCTTGTTCTCTCTTTCTCTAAATGTTATCATGCTCTTATTTACGGCTTATCGTTATCTTTGTTTCCATTCGGAAAGCTAATCATGTTCTCACACGAGCGAGTATTTAGTCTATGAGATAATATTTTATTGGCTACATTCGTAGCAAAACTAAGGATATAAATTGCATAACAAGAAAACGCACGTGGGGAAACATATTTTCTCAAATGGCGAATTGAGAAAAGTGAAAAGGAAATCGCACTGAGCAACCTGATTCGAATGCGCAGATGAATGCCCGATGATTTCGTAACAAAATCAACAGAGGATTGAATCTGCTTAATTGGCGGCATCTCACAGCCAGGGTCAAGTTCTTTGAAGATGCTACCAGGACCTTGACGTACATAGTTCTCTTTTCTCGAGTGCTATATTTGCATTCTATAAGTAAAACTGCTCATAAATCGACTGACATTCCATATTTTTAAAAAGTTTCCAAGAATGCATGAAATTCCCTCCGATATTCCTCTTCGTAAAATTACTACGTAAAATTAATTATGAGGAAGTTGTAATTTTAATTGTCGCACGCATAAAAAATGAGCGTTATTTATAATCGTGTTTTGTTATGCCCAACTCGATTAGAGTCATTTCAATTTGGAAAACATGGTGTTATTATGATGTTATTATGATGTTTATTGGTTGGCGGCGTAAATTTTGTATTATCTCGATACCAATCAAATCGACATTTGACACGGACTAAGAAAACATAAATATAAGTTTGGCACAGAAAGTTTAATGAATTCTCGACGATGCTTCAACAATTTTCACACAAGAGAGATAATATAATGTCAAATTATATATTCTTTGAAGGATCGAATCGCCATAAGAAAATTCAAAAGTAAGAAATTCAAGAAAGAATTTTTGCGAAACGGCAGAGACAAAAAGAAAAAACATGGAAAATTTACAAATAATTAAAAAATAAATTAATTTACTAAAAGTAGATCATTTGCTTTAATGAATTTAGGATTCGTCGAATCTTCATCAATCACATTTATCAATCATAAGACTAAG